TCCATATCCTCTTCCGGTGAGGGTGGCACTGACAAGGGCCAAAATTCTGGCGACTGAGAAAGCCATGGTGGACCACTCCACCATAGTGAGTGACCAATGAGTTGAGATGCACTGAGACCACGAGATGCACAGTCAGCTGGATTGAGCTTTCCGGAGATGAATCTCCAATGAGCATGGGGTACAGACTCGTGAATAGCGGCTACCCTATTGCCTACGAATTCCTTYMATCTCATAGGATTKTTTTTGACYCATGCAARGRTCACAGAAGAGTCAGACCACAGAAAAGTAAGAACGTCCGAGAGGTCGAGAAGTCTAATTACTTTTCCGGTCAGCTTGGCTAGCAGAGCCGCTGCTAAGAGTTCAAGTCTTGGAATTGTCAACCTCTTGAGAGGAGCTACTTTTGTTTTAGCACAGACTAAACTGACTACTGAAGATGAGTCAACGTAATACACCCTGATATGTACAACTGCTGCCATTGCAAGTTGAGAGGCGTCTGAGAAGCCATGTATCTGTACTGAGGTCGCCTTTGACGAGAGGTTTATCTATCGGGGAGTTTCTATGACTGATAGCTGAGAGAGATGTTGCCTAAACTAGGACCACTCGTGAACTATGTCTGGAGTGAGATGATCATCCCAACCAACCTTTTCCAACCAGAGTCGCTGCATGAGGACTTTCGCTTTGATCACTACCGGAGAGAGGAGTCCAAGAGGATCAAACAATTGAGCAATTTCTGAGAGAATGATGCGTTTCGTGACGGCTTGATGGAAAGAGATGGTACCGTGAAAAGTAAACACATCTTTTTGAGAATTCCAGGAGATGCCTAAGATCTTGGTAGTGCTACCATCAAACGAGTGGACAGGCGAGCTGTCAGACTGTGAGAGAGAGGTGCGAGTGGGGTTAGGGGAATTACTTTTCCACTTGTCGAGTGGTAAACAGGCGGAGGAGTACATGTCCTCTAACTGAGATGCGACTGCATTGAGATGATCAATAGTCTCTGCCCCCCCTGATATGTCGTCAACATAGCTTCCCTTGAGAATAGGGTTGACTGCNNGAGGATACTTATGACCTTCATCTTCAGCGAGCTGTCTAAGAATGCGACAGGCTAGATAAGGAGCCGAGCGAGTACCGTACGTGACAGACGTAAGCTGATATGCATAAAATTGAGATGATTCATTAACCCAGAGAATTCGTTGAAGGTCATGATCTTTGGGATGCACTTGGATTTGGCGGAACATTTTGACAATGTTTGTTATGAAAATGTACTTGTGCTGGCTGATCCACAGTAGTACGTCAAAAATGTCGGTTTGAGTCTTCGGCCCAGTGTGCTTAAGATCATTGAGAGAGATACCGGTCGAAGACTTGGCTTAACCGTTAAATACTACCCGCAGTTTGGTGGAGGAACTTTGCTCGCGCCAAACTCCGTGGTGCGGGAGGTAATACGCCTGAGATGGCTCAGGAGCATCGAGAGGAACATGAACCATATGTCCTAAAGACTCATATTCTTTGAGGAATTCAGAGTAGGTCTCCTTGAAATGCCTATCGGTTTCGAATCTCTTGAGAAGTCTTTCAAGGCATCTCATGGCAAGAGACCGTGAATGCCCTAAGGTGGATATGTCTTTCGAGAATGGCAGACGAACCATGTAACGACCAGTTGGCAATCGAGAGTGCGTATTAACAAAGTGCTGCTCGCATTGCGATTCAGCGAGACTCAAGGTTGACGCAGGGGAAGATGAGATTTCTTCCTGAACCCAGAATTTTGTTAGAGCTTTGTCAAGAGATTCGCTAGAGATGGCATGGCAAATTTTGAGAGGATCGACCTTGTTTGGGCTGGAAGTGGCGCCTAGAACTGCCCAACCGAACCTGGTGTGGAAAGCTATAGGTTCTGAGTCGCCTCCCATAACAAGGCGAGAGGACTTGAGAACTSTTCTGAGATTATCAGCACCAATGAGAATGTCGATGTGATCTGGAGTGAGAAAGTCAGGATCCGCTAATTTAAGAGATCTGAGATGAGGCCAATGTTGCTCTGATATTACAGACGACGGCAACTGAGATGTGACTTTTGGCAAAATGAATGCCTTAAGATGAACCCGAGATGACGAGTATGTCGATTGGAGGACCAAGGACACKTGACCTTGGGTCGCTCCTGGAGATGTACTACCCACACCCTGAATAGAAATGTTTCCTGGAGAACGGCTAAGCTTTAGCTTAGCTATGATTTTAGAGGAGACTAAAGTCAACTCTGATCCAGGATCAATGAAAAGACGTACTAAATTAGGCGATCCATTTGAAGATATGGCAAAAGCTTTACAAGTAGCTAAGAGTACTGGAGCTCAAGAGCACGTTGAAAGCGATGGATTAGACTAATGATCGATGTCTGAGATAGGTGACGAAAATCTGACTCGTTTGGTCGTCTGAGAGGACCTTGAGGAAGATGAGATGGTCGATTTTAAAATGGATCTGAGAGGACGATGTGGGTAACGAGATGTCCTACCTACTCCTCATTCTGAGGACGCCTTTTTTGAAGAGTTCTGAGAAGAACTCTTCTTGGTAGGTATGGACTTAGGAGGAGATGATCGAGTTGAAGATGACTTGTGAGAGGAGTCATGAACAGAAACCTTCGGTTTGGAGAGGGGTTTGGGAGTCGACGTACCGAAAGTGGATGATAATGACTTCGGACTAGAGGATCGGCGATGAGATGACTTTCGAACCAAAGATATCCGACGATCCTCTCTCGGTGACTCATCCGACGATACCCGTGAGCCCTGCGAGGACGAGACTCTCTGAGATGTATGTGTTGTCTCTGAGAGAGAGCTTAAAGTCCTTGAGATTGGCAGCGATGATCTTGATGTAGGAGGAGATGTCCTAGACGATGTTGGAGGAGATGTCCTTGTTGTAGGAGGAGATGTCCTGGACGATGTCATCCTTTTCTTGGGATGTATGAGCGTGTGGTGCCGATCTCCACACTGGTTGCATCGCCTAGTACTCCTGCATTGCCTAACGTTATGCCTGCCTAAACAGTTATAACATAGGCGAGATTCTGCTATGACCTTCTCCTTCTTCTGTTGAGTTAGACTCTTGAACAGAGGACAGAAGGCGATGTAGTGCTTATGACTACAATAACTGCAAGTGTTGGAGAGGTCTGTTATAAATGGCATCGGATGTTTTTTAATTGGCCTTTTATCCAATGCCGACTGAGATGATCGTGTAGACTGAGATATCGGTGTAGGCGTAGTAGCCTCAGCCTTTACGTTTAAGGCCCTTGCGTAGGACCTTGTGGGGGCAGCTTTGGGCCTTTGAGATGTTCTTTTGAATTCCTCGTAAGACCTACGAGTCTCGATATGTTCCAGTGCTCTAGCCGTGCTAGTGAGATGACTCATTAGTTTATCTAGCGGTGRGAACTCGCGTGATGTTCCTAATCTGGTTTCCCAGTCTTCGCGAGTCTTGTCRTCCAACGCTAATCCCACCTGATGAACGAGGATATGATCCCATTGATTAATCGGGCATTCTAATGTCTCTAAAGCACTGAGAGATGACGTAACTATGTTAATTAACTTGTTGAGGGATCCAGATGACCTTTCCTTGATGCGAGGAAGGGCCATCAGCCTATCAAAAGGAGCCAGGATTAATAGGCGTTTGTTGACGAATCTATCTGACAATCTATTCCATGCTATAGTAAAAGAATCAGCGGATAATTTTAGATCTGATATGACTTTAGTTGCCTCTCCCTCCAGGCTGGTTCTGAGATAGTGTAACTTCTCAACTTGTGAGAGGTCTGAGTTGTCTTTGATCATTGAGGAAAATAGTTCCTCAAAGGGTCTCCACTCTGAGATGGCACTGAAAAACTTCAGTAATGAGATATTAGGAAGTACTGTCCTTGAACGAGATGCTCTCTGAGATGTGACAGGCGGTACTTGCTGAGAAAGTTCTTCTATACGCAAGTCTAACAGCGTTACTCCGCCTAGATATGCCTGCATGGTCGCATCATAGCGATTTTCCTTGAAATACGACTGTTCCATTGCTGTTTCGCGAGATGACGATACCATGCGGTCGTGTTCGGCATCGAACTTTGACCACGCTGTTCGAAGCAATTCCCTTGTGTCGACAGCGGTTGAGAGGTCCATTGAGTGAAAATTCTTTGCATTGGCAGTCGGATTAGAGATGGTGTTAGCCCGCGCCTCTTGCAGCGCTTGTTTCGCTGCTATCTTAAGGCAGGATTGCGGTTACTAGGCGAGACTATAGTGTAGTGGTGGGGTTGTCCCCACTACTTCTGGAGATGACGATAATTCTCTAGTGCCGGATTCCCGCGCCACCTAGATTTTCCCTAGTGGACTAAAGACGTAGGAACTAAACGAGCACTCGACGCGGAACTATCACCATGTGCTTTGAGAAGCCGAAGTTCAAATTGCGCTAATGGTCCCTTGAACTGATTTTCCTGTCGCAGCACAACGTCTTGGGTGCTCAGCAATGCGACAGGGGTTGTACACGACACTTTACACAAACGTTAAATCTTGTTACACTTACACAAATTAGTTCTAATATCCGGCTCGAAGGACTAAAAAATGTTCGAGAAGAAAATTAGTAGGTTTAAAAGAGATGCGCTAAGAGAAGACAAGGAGATAGGCGAGATAGGCTAGTGGACTGTATTATCTTAATTTCTGGTAGTATTTATGTGTAACAAGATTTATTAACAATTAAGAACAGAAAATTAGAGATAGCGAAAGTATAATAAGTTTGACAAACAGTAATAGATAAGCTATGCCACGTGTACCGGATATCACGCCACGTGTACCGGTAGTACGTAGCACGAGAAGTCGTTAGAACAAAAGAAAAATGTAGTAATGAATTTTGTATGAGAAACGGTAGAATTAATGAAACGAAGAGTACAAAAATGAGAGGTCAGAAAGTATATAGAGATGATCAGATTAGAGATAAAGGTTATGAGATTACCTGAAAAGTCGTTAATGAGAGAGAGTATAAAAAGATGATCAGTCAGAAAGACACAATTACAAGGATGGTCTAGATGAGAAAAAGCAAGAGTGAGATGAGATGGATCGGTTAGAGATGAATATGAAGCGAGATGAAGAGTATGAGATGATTCACAATTTTCAGAGATTTGTAAATGTACGTCCGCACTGATTAACTTCTTAAAAGATTCTGCTTGGACCACGCTACTTTTCGGTTCGATTAGAGGAACAGAGCGGAAGTGGAAAAAGGACGATACACCAATTAGCGAGTTCCACGCTAGGAAGAGATGACAAACAATCAAAAGAAAAGTAACACGCAGAGGATGACGAAACAGGGGACCAATGACCTATTGACACGTCAAGTAGCGTGATCCTTTGATCAATAAAAACAATCGATATGTCTTCTTCTCAGCGACAACAGACGGCGTCTTAATCATGCTAGCCAAAAGGTGCTGCTATCTAGTATGAGGGGCGCAATTTTTGAACAACTACAATCGAGTTTTTATAAATAAGAATAGAATTCTACACGTGCAGTTTCCAAAAAAAAATGTAATAAAATGATTTTTCTCTTTATTTTACTGCAGTAGTCGAAATATAAATGATGTTTGCCTATTTTTTTTTGTCTAAAAACTTTTTATTTTTAAGTATACGGTTAAAAGCTTAAAACAACGTTTCATAGCATGTGTTAAAAAGCACTTTTTTAGAAATTTTATAGTTTTAATCTACGATTTAATCCAGAAAGTAGCGAAAATTTCTTTTGAAATATATCAAAAAATTTTTAGCGACAGTTAAAATACCCTACTAGAAACTAAAGATAATAGATGTCAGGTTTACAACAATCGAGTTTCGTTGAAAA